TGCAAGTTAATTGGACCTTCGCAGCCAGCACAGACACCAGCGCGTGGAACGTGCTGCCCCGCGGTGAGGCTGGGGGACACTGCCTTGGGGGGACAGCGACCCCAGCCTTGGGCGTGAGAGAAGTCAGACAGGCTCTGGGGGTGCTTCTCCAGTGAGGAAAATTGTCGGGGAGAGCTCCGTGAGGACGGGCGAGAGCTGCTCCTCCGCACGCCCTGCTCCCAGCAGGTCTGGGCTGTCCTGTGGTCCACAGCTGTCCAGATCTGCTCAGACCAGGACGCTGGCACAGGGCGCACGTTCCGTGCTTACTGGTGCGTGCACACGCGAGGTGTCGCGGAGCCCCGCTCTAGTCTCACCTGGCCTTGAGTGCCGGGCCTGTCAGCTGAGGCTCCTTTTGCCCTTCGTTTGCCTTCAGATCTCTTCCAGAAGCTCTTCGCAGGGGGGAAAGCGTTCCGTGGAGGAAGAGCAGTCGGGGCAGCGGCTCTTTCAGAAAGTGGCTGAGCCCCGAGGACGCGTCATCCAGGCCCCGGCTTCCGGCGGCTGAGTGAGCCATCAGTCTCTGAGAGCCCTGTAAATAGAGGAGCCACACTCCGGTCTCTGAATAGGAGGCTGTGAGCGTCTCCCTTCCTGTCGGATATAATTACGCTTGCTACACGGTGGCTAAAATTAACCCTGCCACAGAGCCACAGGAGCTGCCCACACCTCCGGGCTCCGCACTCGCTGCTGTCTCTGGCTGGTGCGGCCTTCCCTCAGATTGCTCCCCACTGCACCCCAGCTTCCTACTGCAGGCCTCCGCCCCACGTGCACCGAGGCTCTCCTCACTGCCCCGGATGGGACGGCAGCGTCCTCGTCACTTCCCGCCCTATCACTGTGTCGTTTGTCGCTACAGGTGTGCCATACCCAGCCCCGCACACTCGTACTGTCTACTCGGTCTTCATCTGTCCTCCCCCGGCGTCACTTCCCGCCCTATCACTGTGTCGTTTGTCGCTACAGGTGTGCCATACCCAGCCCCGCACACTCGTACTGTCTACTCGCTCTTCATCTGTCCTCCCCCGGCCCAACAGAGCCACGGGAGCAGGGCCTTGGTCGTTGCCAAGCCCCTGTGCATGTTAGCTGCCATAGGCCCTTGAAAGTATCTGCTCTGAGGGACTGCAAGGTGAGGCCACCTCGTGGGACAGTACCCCCGTCTCGGCCTTCTTGGGCTCACTGCACTTGCACAGCGGGGCGCACCGTGAAACGGAGTGTGCAGGTCCTTCTTGCTGAAGGTCGTGGGACTTCCCTGGAGTCCAGCCACTGGCCCGTCCTAGACTTGGGGAA